GATAACAATATGAATTAATTATTATTAATTTTTTAACTTTCAAAATTTACTATAAAAAAGGGTGAAGAAAGGCTTTCAAACTTGATTTTATAAATTTCATCCACACTCTTTTTCATTTTATTTTAAATATTTTTATTCTTTTATGTTTTTTTCCTAGATATAGAGCTTAGGTTTATACTTTATTAGAATATTAGAATTCTTTTGTTTTGGCTCAAATATCATATTTAAAAGTCTATCTGAACTAAGCTGGAGTTGTTAGAGTCTCGAGAAGTATATGGGAAAAATCTCAAATGCATAAGTGATAAGGAATAAAACTTTAAGGACAAATATTTTATCATTGATAATAATAAAATTTTATTATTTTAATATGCTTTAGCATATAAATATTTTTCTTTATTTTAATTTAAGTTTTTATTATTAGAATGTATGTCAGGATTTTGATTTTACATATATTGCAAGTTTGAATACATATTTAGTATGCAGGCTAGTTTATACACATACATGTTGAAAGTTTCTTTATTTTAATTTAAGTTTTTATTATTAGAATGTATGTCAGGACTTTGATTTTACATATATTGCAAGTTCGAATACATATTTAGTATGCATGCTAGTTTATACACATACATGTTGAAAACATGTTTATCTTAAATCTTATTTTTCATGTTTAAAGATTTTAAATTGTATGTACTTCAAGTTTATTTTGATTTTTTTTTATGTTTTTATGCTCTTGTTATAATAAACTAAATATCCTTATTAACTGGTCTAAATATAATTTAATATATTTTGACAATAAATCTTTAATGTCTCTTGATTGAAAAACCCCTCACTTGGGATGCTAATTTCTTTCTTGATCAAGGATAATAACAAACACCTTTATATACAGAGAGCAAGTAGAAATGCTGTTGCATTTAAAAAAAAAAGCAATACAAAAAGACTAATTAATGACTAAATCGTAAAATAACTTTAATATGTCAAGCATGTGAACAAAAAAAAAAAAGATACATACCTCCTGCCATGAATGAATAAATGTTAATGCAATTGTCCATAAATATTTGTGCCTTGGAAAACAAAGAATCTTCAAATTCATGCCAAATTTTAATGTTTTTTTTATATGAACGGGAGACATATGACTTTTCATTGACCTTTTTTTGGCTAAACTAAAGAGCCTTCTATATAACATAACTTTTGCATATCCATCCCTCACGGATATGCTTGACCCACTACTAGAGTTCAATAAATAATAAGTTTTAATTATCATTTAATTTAAATCTACACAACATATGGGTCATTTTAAGAATATTTTTCATAACATTTTTCTATCTGGCCCAAATAACACACATGAAAAGTAACAATATATTTATAGAGTTTAGAATATCTAATAAGTGGAAATACTCGTATTTAAATTATCAATCATTGATTATATTTTAATTAATGTTAGTAAACCTTTATATTATAGCACGAGAATATTTGATCTTATTTTCACTATACTTAAACACCTTCAAATCCTTTAAATACTATATTGTGAGATATAAAAATATTAGAAATTTTAATTTTACTATTCACTTTATTGAAAGAGTTAATTGTGATAACAAAATCACTTTTGTAAATCTTTATGAGTTAGGTAAAAACTCTTAGTATTGGTGAGATATTTTCATAAAGAAAAAATCTTGAAAATAACATATCTTCAAGTAAGAAAAAAATCTTGAAGAGAGAATATCTTTAAGTGGTGTAAAATTCTTAGTATGGATTTATCATGTA